AAGAATGTGAGTAAGATGTCATTTGCTAGACTGACCTATGTTTTAACATTTTGGAGAATCGAGTGGCAATTTCAAATAAATGATGTGGAGCTATAGATCTATAAATTAAGTAAGGTTGGATCCAAATGAAAGGTATACATCTCTTATACCAACTTTAAATGGTCTTAGGTGACGATGATGTCAACTCTGAAGTGGCCTAAAAATAGACGATTTAATCAGTCATGATTGAAACACAATTTTACAAGAACCTACCATTTTTTTCATGTGTTTATACATAAAAGGCTTGTAAATAGATTATTATCAAGGGTTTACAAAACTTACCTTAAGATCAGGAGCTCAGAAATGGATTCAAGACCTCTTAAAACTTTAGCAAAACCTTATAAATACCACTTTAAGAAGAGAGCTAAAAAAAAAAGGGGCTGGGATAGGAGAAAAAAAGAGGAAAATATTAATAATAAACCTAAATATAAAGGTTTAACGGCCAAACATAAAGATTAATGTGAGGATTAAACAATGATAAAAACAAATATCAAAATTAGAAGATCCATCAATGGTATTTCAAACAAGTATAGTATAAACTCGTTTTATTAATAAATGGAAACCATACACAAAGGAGGTTCTAATCGGATTATAAATTGTTAACATGATTACATTAGTTAGTTTATTCGAATAATGCTAATACTTGCAAATGTTGTTAGGTATTCATGATTATAACTTATGTTAACAACAAATCAAGTTCTTTTCATAGCACAGGTGTAGGTTATACTATATGGTTGGGCTATGAAAGTACCAGGCATTTGCTGTGTCAAGTGTTATACAACATAAATCTAAATTAATCATTTAACAAGCAATGTATTAAAAGTGAATAAAATGATAAATATAAAACATGTTAGTATCAAACATTAAAGTCCATGTTGAGTTTATACTATACTTATTCTTACACCATTAGTGTAACTTTTTCACCTTGACATAATAATATTAGCTAAACATAATAAATAAGAGAAATAAAAATAAATAAAATATAAATATAAATAAGATATAAGTTAATAAAGTAAAGGAAAAAAAAAGAAAATCATAAACAAGAGATTAATGAAAGCAAAACTTAAGCATTACAAAAATATAAAGAAAGAGAGCATGAACATGATTTTGAACTGAAAACGAAGATGCCTACATGCATAGCAAAGGTCTCCTTTTATAGGTAAAACTTAAAAACCATTAATTTGTTGACTGATTGTTGAGTGAGTGGCCACATCTTGACTTGGTGACAATCCTTATCTTCTTGTCTGAACAAAACGTTATTGTTAATATTAGAATTTGAACAGACTCAATCATGAAAGTTCTAGTAAATTATCTTAGCTTTTTAACAAAAAAAAAGGGTATTTGGGGTGCTAATACCTTCCATTTACGCAATCAGTTTTCGTATCCCATCACTAAGACCAGTTAGGGTTCCTAGTGACTAAAATACTAGGTAGCGACTCCTAGTCTATATTTTACTAATAAGAGACAAGTACTCTTTGTCTCTTTATATTTGCCAAGTGGACATCATTTTTCCTTGAGTGTTGGACAATTGCCGCAACGTTGCACATATACGACATTAGGTAAGGTATATTAGGGGTAGTAATACCTTTCATTTACCCAATTAATCCCTTACCTAAACTTTGAGATCAATTAAGGTTTTTAGTGACTAAAATACTTGGTGTCTACTTCTATTATCTCATTTTTTTTTACTAATAAAGGACAAAAATTCATTGTCATTTCCACTTATATCACCAACAAAGATCTCTATTCAGAATGATGATTGTCACGACGCCATATATGTACAACACATATGTGTGTGTTTTATGTCAATATCAAGATATGTATATGTCACATCGTTATAAGAAAAATCTAAATGTTCTACCAATATATTTATATAATAAAAATATATGTTTTGGGTTAAGTTTGGGCTGGTTTTGGGTGTGCTTTAATAATATTCATACCCTATTCATTACTTAATGAATAAGGATCAGGAAAAAAACCCACTTGTTAGGGTTGGGTTGCGTGGTATCCATTAAGTTCAGATTAAATTGACATCCTTAATATTGAGGGATTAAATTGAAAACAAAATTCAATTAGGAAAAGGATAAAAATAAAATAAATAGCAATCAAAATAAAGAGGAACAAATTTGAAATAAAAGTTAAATGAAATCAAATGATAAATGATGAAATTGAAAACAAAAACTTAATTAGAAAAAAAGGATAAAAATGAAATAAATAGCCATAAAAAAATATGGATCAAATTTGAAATAATAATTAAATAAAATCAAATGATAATGGATGAAATTGAAAAAAAAACTTATAAAAAAATCAAAAAATAAAAGGAATTAAAACAATAAGGATTAAATTATATAAAAAACAAATGAAAGGAGACTTGTGCAAGTGTCATCAACCTTTTGTGATTATCAATTAGAATTAGAAACTCAATCCAATTTGAAATAATAAAAACACACTTGAACTCAAGTTTTAAAAAACAAAGTTGCAATGGTAATTGAGCAATTATATTATTCAAAACAATTAGAAAACCAAAAACCCTCTTACACCAAGTTTTTTTTTTTATAAAGGAATATTAATAATTGTATTATACAATAAAAATATGAAGAGACTAATTTACGCTTATATAAATTAATAGTACCAATTGAATCATGTAAGAAAACTATTTTGCCAAAAAAAAAGCTCCTTTTCTTGTAATTATTGAGAGCTAAAACATATGTAATATAACAATATATTGTGCATTGAATCTTACACCATAATAAATCTATGAGTTGGCTTAGTGTTTTTTTTTTTTATGAACTTTATGAGCTTGTGTAATGGCAAAACTAAAAGTGAAGGTGAAAATTTTCATCGAATGTTATAGTTTGATCAATTTTGTAATTTTCTCATACGATAATTCTTGCAGATATACATGTTAGACATAGTGCAATAATTGCATAGTGCGGAACTGATTGCTACTGCCAATCATATTTTACTTTTATTAAGGTAACCAAATGAACAATTGTCCAATTGTTTTATGGTTATAGGACGTTATAATCAAATTTGTATGGTAATTTTAGTTTTTCTTTTCTTATTTAAGTGGGGGATTTCTCATTATCAAATCTTAATCTCACCTTTCTTATTTAAGTTAAACTTGAGATCACCTACATAATTATTTTGGAATTCAAAAGTATTAATGTCTAGATAATAAAAATTATGAATCATTTACCCGTGTGATACAAGAGGTATTTATAGCCCATGAACATTATTGTTTTACTGGAATAGAGAAGTTAAAGAGTTATTTTGTCTTGATAGTATTAATAAGAGATAAATATTTCTCACTTAATATTAATAAGATAAAAATATAATAGAACATGGAGATATTTTTAATACATTTAGGGGTGTAGGAAGAAAAATATTCTTGACATTAATATTTTTGTTAGAAGTCATAGGAATAAATAAACAAAGCTTTATAGCCCAATATGGGGCTAATGATCTCCATACCTTTATCCCTTCACATTTGGCACACTTCCAAGACCATGATTAATGGGTATGGTAGCAAGCCTAATTCATGCCTAATTAGTTTGACACATAGTTAAGCTCAAGGTCAATAGGGTCAAAAAATCTATGTTCAAATGGGATTGGCATGTAGCCAAGCCTAAAGATGACGGTTTGATAGTTCGGTTGACTTATACCTAGTTAAGCTTAACGTGTAGCCAAGCCCAAGGGTGTTAGGTTCGGTGACTCGCCAGACTTATACATACTTAGACTCAACACAATTCTAAACCCATAAGCAATAAGTCTGATGGCTTATTAGATTCATATCCACGATTCCAAACCTAAATGGGCTTGGCATGCAGCCAAGCCTAAAAATGATGAGTTTGAAAATTCGCTAGACTTATGCCTAGTTGGCCCCAACACGTAGCCCATGTCCACTCGTCAGATCCGAGGTCATAGGTGACAAGTTTGACAGCTTGTCAGATCCTTGTCCATTTAGGCTTGGTACGTGGTTGGCCTAAAAGTGTTGGGTCTGACTGCTTATTAGACCCATGTCCACTTGGATTCAGCAAGTAACTGAATCTAAGAATATTGAGTTTGAAAGCTCATGAAACTCATGTTCGCTTGAGTTTAACACATAAATAAGTTTAAGGATATTGGTTCTGACATCTCATCACATTTATGTCCATTTAGGCTCAGTATATAGTTAAACTCAAAGATATTAGGTCTGACAGCTTCCTGGACAAACATTCGATTAAGGTAAACACATAATTAAGTCTAAAAATATTGGGTTTAACAATTTATCAAACTCATGTTTGTTTGGGTTTGGCATATAACTGAATTTAAGTATATTGGGTCTGGTGGCTCATCAAATTTATGCCTATTTGGACCCAGCTCGTAGCCACGTTTAAGAAAATTAGGCTTGGAAACGAGCTAGACTTATGTTATTTAGATCGACATTATAACAAGCCTACAAATTATAACAAGCCTACAAATGTTATTCAAGAATACAAGCTCTACCCACTTATAATTAAATTATCCCCTTCCTTTAGAACTTTTTAAATAAAAACTTAGGCTAAAAAAGTTTTTTTTATAAAACTAAAAAAAATATTAATCAATCACTTACTTCTAAACTCCTGAAAATTATTTCAAATGATGTTAAATTGTCATGTTAAATTGTCATGTAGATATTTTACTAATTCAAACTAATTAAAATATAAAATTCAGGGCTTGGATGTGGAAATCATACTCCAGAGTCCAAAGTTCAAATCATGAAATGAGAAAAACTACTGTTAAATATAAATAGAATTGTGAAGAAACGAGCTCGAATTTACTTGTGAACTTTTGTAGAAGTAATTAAACAAAGTTCAATCCTGGTGGGTGGTGGTTAGCGGGAGCATGAGACAAGAAGCACCCAAGGACACGATGGCATTCTTGTTTATTTCTGCATATGATAATTGATATGGTAGAAGACAATTCCGTCGTCACTCATCACAGTCGTACTTGATTCCCGTCTACCGATGCTCTTCCTTTATGGTTTCTTCCCCTATAAACAAATCACCACTCTAAGCAAACAACAGAGCTTTCTACCCTTCTTATCTTTACCGATTCCCTCAATACCATAACCAAGAAGAAGAAGAAGAAGTAGAAAATGGTAAAATACAGCACCTCAATGGCTTCTTCTCGGTTTCTCTTTCTCCTCTCTTCTCTCATCTTAATCTCATCATCAACACCAACACCAGCACCAGCAACAGCACCAACATCAACCATCACCATCCCTCTATCAGCTCCTAGCTCCACCAAGCTGATCATATCCTCAAAAAATCCATGGGGAGCACTCAATCACCTCGCTTCCCTATCTCTCTCAAGAGCCCACCACATCAAGTCCCCAGAAACCAAATTTTCTCTCCTCAAGACCCCTCTTTTTCCACGTAGCTATGGAGGCTACTCCATCTCTCTCAACTTTGGTACGCCTCCACAGACAACCAAACTTGTCATGGACACCGGTTCTAGTCTTGTTTGGTTTCCTTGTACTTCTCGCTATCTTTGCTCAAGATGTGACTTCCCAAACATTCAAGTAAAAGGAATCCCAACATTTATACCAAAACTATCATCCTCTTCAAATCTTATTGGTTGCAAAAACCACAAATGCTCATGGCTTTATGGCCCCAAAATTCAGTCTAAATGCCAAGAATGTGACCCCACTACTCAAAACTGCACTCAATCCTGTCCACCTTATGTAATTCAATATGGTTTAGGCTCCACAGCTGGACTCCTACTATCTGAAACTCTCGATTTCCCAGATAAGAAAACCATACCCGGTTTTCTTGTCGGTTGCTCCCTTTTCTCCATCAGACAACCCGAAGGGATTGCCGGGTTCGGTCGGAGCCCCGAATCACTCCCTTCACAACTGGGTCTCAAGAAATTCTCGTACTGCTTAGTATCTCACGCTTTGGATGACACTCCAGCAAGCAGTGATCTTGTTTTGGATACCGGGTCAGGTTCGGATGATACCAAGACCCCAGGGCTTAGCTACACACCCTTTCAAAAGAATCCAATCGCTGCATTTCGGGATTATTACTATGTATTGCTGCGTAACATTGTCATAGGGGACACACATGTTAAAGTGCCTTACAAATTTCTGGCCCCTGGATCAGATGGTAATGGAGGGACGATTGTGGACTCAGGGACAACATTCACATTCATGGAGAAGCCAGTATATGAGTTAGTAGCTAAGGAATTTGAGAAGCAAGTGGCCCATTATACAGTAGCCACTGAAGTTCAAAATCAGACTGGTTTAAGGCCTTGTTTCAATATTTCTGGCGAGAAATCAGTTTCTGTCCCGGAATTCACTTTTCACTTTAAGGGTGGAGCTAAGATGGCATTACCTTTGGCAAATTATTTTTCATTTGTTGATTCTGGAGTTATATGCTTGACAATTGTGAGTGACAATATGAGTGGTTCGGGAATTGTAGGTGGACCGGCCATTATTTTGGGGAATTATCAGCAGAGGAACTTTTATGTAGAGTTTGATTTGAAGAATGAGAGATTTGGGTTTAAGCAACAAAATTGTGTATCGTGAATTGGTTCATTTGTCCTATGATATAATATAGTTTGGAAAAGAGAAATAATTAGCATCGACTCATCTTTGCTAGATATTTAATTCTTAGGTGCATGGTAAGGATGGTGGATTGGTATGGATGGTGGTGGCTGCAGCACTGGAAGCACTAGAGGCCGCTGTGATGGTGGTTCCGGTGAAATTGTTAATTGTCGGTCAGCAAGCAACGGGTGGTTGACAAGGTTTACTTTTTCGTACAATCACTGTTACAAAGGTTGACAAAGCATTATAATTGCTGAGGGAAGTTACGTATTCATCTTTATAATTATATAGAATGAGATTTCGAAGAAACTTGTTCTTCTACGGGTTTTCTTCTTTCTTTGTTTTTTACCCTTTTCCTTTTCTCTATGTGGCTGTTCATGCATGGTAGCCGTTATACCTTCGTAGCACTATGGGATATCTCTGCAGCCTCATCTGTTGGTGGTGCCCAGGGCAAATTAATTCGTCCTTTTGTTCAACGGTCACTAATCTATTTTGTATTCCTGTAGGAGACTTCTGCTCCAGCATGTGCTTACTGTTTAATTGTCGATGTTCATATTGGTTCGTGCTCCTTTACATGTGTCATGAATTGTCAACAATGTATTTCTTTTCCTTGTATATTTTTATTTTTATTTTATTAACACAGGTATTTTAAACAATATGTGCATATTTCAATTAATTTTATAATTTTTAAAATTAATAATTATATAAACTTTGTATAACCTTAAAGTTTATAAAATTTAAACTAATAATTTAACCTAAAAGTTTATAAAATTTAAACTAATAATTTTTAAAAAATAAATTTATAATTTAATTAATTAAATTAAAATTTTAAATTTTATCATATTTTTTCAGAGAAGCTTCTTCTCTTTCTTTTACCGTGTAAATATGACAGAAAAGGTTGTGTATGATCAATGATGGTTGCAAAGGCCATATGTAAGAGTAAGATAAATTTGGCCCTCATGGTGTAATGGTTAATACTCAATTATCGGTGAGTTTCTAGAGTTAATAAACATATGTGAGGATAACTTTTGCAATTGAATATATGAACTTTTATTCGTACTTTTGAGTGTGTGGATTTTCAATTTTTTTATAATCAAATAATTCTATTAAACTGTTCATAAGTCTAGGCTACTTGAGGGTGTTGTCTAGGTTCAGCTAATTTTGAAATTTGTAAGCAACGGATGTTAATCTAGTTTTGCTCTCATGATTCTGGTTTAGTTATTTACTAGTTTTGTACCCATGTTTTACTGCGGGGTGGTTGTTGTTTTCAATAAAAAAATAATATGCATGCTTTTTTTATATATTTTTAATATAAAAAATTCTCAGTTATAAATTAAAATATTTATACATGTATCTAATTAATTAAATTGATATTTGAGATCAAAATATTTAATTTCTACTTAATTCCGTTAAACAAATATGTTTTTTAGAATATTATTTTCATTTAATGAAAAATATTTTTCTTAATTACATAACAATATAGTGCATGATAAAAAAAATTATGGGATATATTTTTTAAAAGTAAAAAAAAAAATGTGATATACACATAGCGGCGTTGAGATAGCAAAGGTAGTTCATTGATAACAAATAATGAAATTGTATTTTTTAAGGTTTGAATCAAATACAAAAATAAATCATTAATAACAAAGGGTGTAATTGTATTTTATTTAAATTAATGAACAAAAAAAAACATTGGAAATAAAACAAATAATAGCTTAGAAGCAGCTATTTAACTTATTAAATCTGTGATCCAACTAATAAACTTGATTGAGTCAATTATTTATTTTATCAAATTTTTTAATCAAATATAAAATAGCAAAAAATAACACAAAGAATAAAAGGATCCTAGCTGCATGGGTTTGGGCATTTAATGAAAACAACTTAGGTGCTTGGGTCTTTAACCTATCTTGCCTGCCTTGGCCTATCTTATTTTTCTATTTTCTGAAGGGGAAAATAACATATTGTTTGTCCCATGTTTTTTTATTTAAAGATAACAAACAACGTATCATTTGCTTTCTAAAAAATTAGAGGTTCATATTTTTTTTCAATTTAAAACCCATATTTAATCTTAAATACTAAAAAGAAATGCCATAAACATCTTAATAAATCTATTTATAACTATTAAAAAATTCAAAAATCAAAAATCAACCCAAAAACTCAAATTATTCATGAGGCTAGATTTACCTCATCGGGCAAAGAGAAGGAAACAAAACCACCTAGGTCAAAATCCCTTTATGAATTGAAACTTATTGATATAAAAATCAACTATTTTTATGATTGGAATCGTCGACAACAACAAATTTCTCTCTCTATACTAGAATTTGGCAAGCCTTTCACTCTCCTTTCACAAAAAAAAAAAATTGAAAAGAATGAGAAATAAAGTTTAGTACTAAAATTGAATTTTAGAAAACTAAAGGGATTAGTTCCCTAATAGCTAAAAATAATAGGGGACTAAAATAAACTTTTTAAATAAAATTATAAGATGTTATCTATTTTAACTGTCATTTGCACTTTAGTTCTCTATCTTTCAATTCAATCATTTTTCCCAAAAAGACATGCAATTAGGTGCTAATTTGAACTCAAAATGACTCGATTATGCAAAAACAAAGTTCTAGGATCAAATTAAATTTTTTTAAATAATCACTATTCTAATCCATAGTAATTTGCTAGGGGTATGTAATTAGGTGCTAATTTGGACTCAAAATGACTCAATTATGCAAAAATAAAGTTCTAGGATCAAATTAAAATTTTTTAAATAATCATTATTCTAATCCATAGTAATTTGCTAGGGGATAGACAATGAAAAATGCTATGACAATTTCCCTACAAGGCTTAGTTTCTACTAGCTATTTGACCCATATTCTGTCGTGAGCAAGATATATTTTTCCCTATAAAAAAATTGTATATACTAATTTTTTTCAATGCATTTTTATACATTAAAAAACATTATGTAAATTAAAAGGTTTATGCATACACATAATCAAATAAATTGAGAATTATGTGTTAATAATTAGGAAAAAAAGTCATTAACAATTACCTAAAATGAAAGTAAGAAAATCAAGAGATAAATATTGATCAAAATATTTCATCTCGCAAGATGAGATATTCGCCTAGTTATGGATGCTAGATTTATTTATTAAAATTAATTTTTTATTCAATCAAACGATAATAGAAATAGACATACTAAAAAATATTATGTCAGGTTGCACATATTAGAAATATTCCCTTAAAAAAATATTTTTGTATTTTAAAAAAAATTCATCTATATAAAAAATTAAAATAAATTATAGATGAATGAGAATAATCTGTCCATAAACTAAATACTCACAACACCATTAAAAAAGAAATCTTTATCTAAAGAAAGTTTAAATAAGAAAAAAATCGCAAATGAGAAAAACCACAACATCCAAGCTTTTATCAAGCCATAAATTTAAAAATTATTTAAGAAAATATAAATTCAAAGAAGATATCAAATAAAAAAAGTGAAATTAAAAGAAAAAAAAGAAACTTAGATGTTGTGGCGTAATTCATCAAATACATACTTTAGATCATAGACTCAATTAAGTTTAACAATATTTTTTTTCTCTAATTTCTATCTAACCCTTAAATCAAAAATCAAAAAATAGCCTAGGCTTTTAGGCTCATTTCAAGGAAAAGCTCAGGTGCATGATAGGTATTCAAGCCTAGGCTTACAAATCTAGGCTTGGTTATATATTTTTAAAAAGGTTGGATAAATTTTTTAAGAAAAAAATATGTATGTGACACATCCCCTACCAAAACAGAAGATGTGTGTGCAAAGTTAAATTTTCATTATGGTAGCCATAAAATTAAGGCAACATCTTTTTTAATAAAAAAAAATCTTATTTTTAATATATCTTCATCTCTAAAATACCTTAGTAACATCGTCACTATATCCAAAAATAATTTTGTCAATTTCAAATACCTAAAAAATTGCCTATAACCTTGATATCAAACTAGGTTTATTATGGTTTTTGTGGTTTAAATTTGATTTTTTATACAACGTTGAGGCTCCAAACAACCCCATAAAGCCCCTTTCATCTTTAGAAATTTATGGATACTGATAAAACTCATTTTAGTGGTCGAAAATGGAGTTAATGATGGTTTTCTCTCTAATCACTGGAATTTGATAACTCTTTTTTCTCTTATCATGGATTGAAAAATAATACAAATAAACTTGTGCATCAATGTTAATTAAATTTTGACATATACATTAAAAATACAATTATAACACTTTTTTGTAGGTCCTTTTTTTTAAATTTATCAGAAATAAGTTAAGAAAAAATATTTTTGACATTTAAGAATATAAACAGTAACATTTTTTTTTTAAAATAAACTAGAGACTTAGAATTGCAAAAACAAAAGAAAAACAACTTCCATCCAGACACACCACCTGAATCGATCCTCCCTGTGGAGGGATATCGACAGAGTGGAGGGATGTGGCAATTTGATGCTTTTTGGATGTATGTATGGAGAAATTTACACGAAAGAGTAGAGGGAATTCAAGAGGGAGATCAGATTGAGAGGATGTGGCAATAATGGTACTGAAGCAGAGGAAGGGTGTGGAGCAGTATAATTTTGAGAAAAGATTGTTTGTATTTATATTTTAAAAGTATTTTTTAAAAATTTAATTTTTTTATTTTAAATAAATATTTTTTAATATTTTCAAATTATTTTAATGCGTTAATGTTAAAAATAATTTTTAAAAAATAAAATAATATTATTTTAATATATTTTTAAATAAAAAATATTTTAATAAAAATCATAACCATATATTTTTTTTTTTATTTAAAATATGCCGGAAGGGGTATGGGTATTGAATGTCGGAGTTATAGTATTTCGAATATTCACCGTTCTTGCTTGCAAATCCTGCCATTGCTAAATAAATAACGGTAATGATAGTGGCAATGGCGACGGTTCTTCAGCAATCATAGCTGTGCTACTACGTACGTACTGTCCTTGTTAAGATTTTTGATAGGCAATCCAAGGAGGAGTATACTATATCATTTCTTCTGTTCTT